GATATAACCACGTTACGTATACAAAGCAACAAAATAACTTCACTTATAGTAAACCATCTGTAGGATAGGTGAAGCCTGGTGTTACTACGGGGACTTTCAAAATATCAAATGTCACTTCAGTGTTTCTTGACGCTATTCCATAAATCATTTACGCCGATATGGCTGCTGTGGCTACTTCCGCTTGCAAGTTCGGCGTTAAACCAAATGAACTATGAGGTCATGCCTGTAGCACAAGCCAAAGCAAACAAAGCTATGTTCGAAATTACATATCTATTAATCTCAACTGTTATTCTACACATAATAATTTGCCAATTGATTGGAATCCATCTGCTAACTAATTAATTAACTAGAATTTAGTAGACATCAATTATTTTCAAAGCAAATTATCATGTAAAACTGACGTGACCAAATTTAACAATAAAAAATGGCAAGGCTGATAATGCATACATATAAGAGATGCAATAACTATAAGAACATGAAAGCACTTGAGAGCTCTATAGCACTACTAACACGAACCGTCCATCGTATATTGAAATATTTAAACGTCTACCGAAATATTCAGATTGAGTAACTGATTCAGTAATTCTGAAATCCTAACATGGTGATACGGATACAAAACTTCTCAGTCCTGAGAATCTTGAAATATCTTTGTATAAATTGAAGAACGACCGTAGCACCCTTCCCGTCCCTCTTCCCATCAACCATCTATCGACAGTCGCATCTTCTGATACCCGGCCAACCGGAAAAAAGCTTCTCTCTGATCTTAACGAGGGCCATATGGTCAAATATTAGAAGTTCTCTACGTTCCATTCATGAGCACACTTGGTCACTTATTTTGTCTGCAGGTCATAAGGGAGAACACGTCAAACACACCCTATTTTCATGCTTGCACTTTACCATGGAAACAATCCATTAACTCCTAACTTCCACCTTCTCTTCCTTCCCCCTTTCTCAACCTACCTCCATTCTAAAAATTATATGTAATATGAAAATGCCATTCTTTACTTGATGATGTTTTACTGCAACCAAACCCGAGTCGTTTCAATCTGTGGAATAACTGAGTTTCGTATTTTAACGATATGATAGACCGCTTTCTAGAACATCTCTAACTTCACTTTCGCGGCAGCAGTCCTTTGGGATATGAACTTACAGTTTTGGGCTGCAAATATATTTATTGAAAGAAAGCAGCTTCGTTTTGTTGTGTTCAGGTGGAGAGTTTGGGTGATAAAACGTGCTAAACGGATTTAACAGTTTATATATAGGAATTCCGTAACCCGCTACGAGTATCATAATCGATTCCCGTTTCTTTATAAGCACGCTTAAACCGTCTGGGAGAAAGTTCTCATGACGGTTCCATTTCTTAACACGTCTGTGTCATGGATATGCAGTAAACCGTCAAACATTGTCAATGCGAGGTGTCTGTTACTACCGTGCTAATTTTTCTGAAAATCTAAACTCTTTCTCAATTCTTTTCAACTCAACAATATCATATATTCGAAAATTCGGAAAAATCCAAAATCCGAAACAATCTTGGTCCCAAACATTTTGGATAAGGGATACTCAACCTGTATCAGTTTTTGTATTTATCCCTTACGCTAGCTTAACTGTCATTATCCGACCAAAGTACACAATTCTTACCTTATTCCTTAGATGAAAGAATGATTAATCTTTAGGCATTTTCTTCACACAAGCTACTCAATAATGCGTTACATTAAATCTTTCAAACTGTAACCTAAATAGATTATCAGTAGTAATAAACTTTACCGTATAAAACATGACATGGCATTAGTTGATAAGGATTCAATCTGACTCTAAGCGGCGATCACCTGTAAGACCACGTGCCAAACCATTGACTCACCAGTTGTTCATATCCAAAAAGAATCGGCACGAATCAGGGCTAAGATTGGCGTCTGGTCCAACGATCTGCTGAAATTTTTCCACCAGCACCTCACGATCGTAGGTCCCCATGCAACAGAACTGCTGAAGCAGCTTGCCCTCAACTTCCATGTCAACATCCATGAATGACCACTGTTTTCGCCAACGGACTATTCACACGATACTTTAGACCTAATCGTTGGTTCTTACTATATAAAAGATCATTAGGTAGCATTGCAAGAAGTGCATAGATAATTACAAATACAGTAAGTTATAATTCTGCTGGCGACAAGTTATGCTTATCATATGGCGTCAATTTCAGGTAAGGGGTTTCTAGGCATCAGTTATTCAAGGTGCAAGAAATGCAGCTCATTTAATACCATTACTAGATTGTAAAAGTTATCCTCTTCTTCCGTTTCCTAGCATGCTCCCCTTAACAGGATCTGCAAATCGAGTCAACCTCCTCCATATTTTTCTGTCGTTTGTTATATCTTCAAAGACTTCTCGCAGTTTCAAATCGTTCTTGACAACATCGTGCCACTTTTTCTTCGTTCTTGCCATTTTTTTTTTCTCCGGAAACGTCAGTGCTTGGATTACATTTCCAACGTGCTCGATAGGTCTTCATTTAACGTGGCCGAACCAGCGGTGCCTGCTTTTGATAAGTTTTTCGGAAACTGGTGCTAGGCCTAAAGTGCTTTTTATCAAGCTGTTTCGGATATGAACCTTTCTGCTCATACCACACATCCGTCTGAGCATTCGCATTTCAATCGAGTTCAACTGCTGCTAATGTCTCGTCAGTGTAGCCAAACATTCCGCTCCATATAGAAGCACCGGTCTTACTGTCTTTCTGTGCATTTTCCCTTCAGTCTGATGGGCATTTACTTGTCATGTAGTACTCCGCTCACTTCTCTTCACTTGAGCCAAGCTACTTTCGACCAGTTTCATACGTCGCTGTCGATTTACGCATTATCTTGCACGTTAGAACCATGATAATTG